AGCTCCTCTGCCAGCTCCTTCAGCACTCTTGGGTGGATCCCATCCGGCCCCATGGACTTGTGGATGTCCAGGTGGCATAGCAGGTCAAAGACTGCTTCCTCCTGGATTATGGGGGGTTTATTCCACTCACCGTCCCCATCTTCCAGCCCGGGAAGACTCCTGAGCATTGTTTGACTCCTGAGCATTGGGTCAGGGGCTTCATAAATCTGCTAAACTCACAGTAGTAATGCTAATATTGAGTTGAAGACCAACAAGTTCTTAGCTAATCTACTTACATGTCTGTCAACCAGCTCTCACGAGACAGATTGAGCCAGCAAACAATCAAGAATTTCTGTGAATGCACAGTAAGATTTTATCTTAAGTAGGGTAATTTTATAATCATTATAAATTAAATATTGCTCCTCTGGATCACCCATAAGTTAAGAAAGACTTGATTCTACCTAAGGATTTAAAGTACTTCTCCCTCGTCCATGACTCCATGTTTAAACTTGAAAGATTAATACAAAAATAAACAGCAATGCTTTCATATTGCCCTGCATTTTCCCACTACTGGGGGATAGGTGAGATAGCACAATGCAATAAGAGGTTTTATCTGATTTCTCCAATGGTGAAAATAATGGTTTCAAGATAGGAAAGGTATTTCCGAGTAAACTGTGGCACAGAAAAAAGCAGACTACCCGCCAGTCTCCCAGCATGTGATGCAATCATTGATTTCTCCTCTCCAGGCAAAAATATTTTAAATCATGTGAGTCCAGGATTTTATCTGGTTAAATGAAATTGGTTTTAGTAATTATAATTATTTTTTAATTATAATGTAGGAATAAAAGATTGAAGTGTGAGATGAAAGTGTTGAAGCCGAGGGAAGAATGGGAATTCCTTTTTCTCTCCAGCTTTACAGATCTCAAGTCAACCCTTTGAACATTTCACAGACAATTCATTTCTGAAATGTTCAGTACTTTAAATCACATGGAAGCTATGCTTGTTACCTTTTTTACCTCAGTTTTTGTCATAGTATATGTTTGTTATGCCATGCTGCCCTGTATGTTGCTATTGCTACTAGACAAAGTGCCTAAATACACATCAGATACAAAACCACTGTAGAACTGGTAAGTTAAAGTTACAGTCATACACAGAGCATTAGCCCTTGTTTGGCACAGGGTTGCTAGCAGATGTGTAAGCAATGCCAAAGCTGAGATCAGGCTTGGGATATTTATTCATCTGATGTTAAACATTTTCATTTTTACTGTCACGGTCATTTATTTTATACTGTATGAGCCTTTAGTCCTAATGGTATGGTACTTGCCTTTTAAGATGAGAAAAAATGTGCCAACTGAAAGGGAGATTAGAAAATTCCATTTAGAATGTTTTGGGAGATTGGAGAATTTAATTTAGAATATTGTCAATGACTTCATTGTCAGAAGCTGGAAGTCCTTTAGCATGTTCTCAAGATTTCAGAGGATTCTTTGAAAAGGTTTCCATTTATTATGGGCAAACATTGAAGATTATATGTGCATATATTATGTACGTGTGTATGTTTACACTATAAACATAAATTAGCAATACAAGATCTCCAAATTTATAGAGGACAACAGAAACTGCTCTCCCTCATGAGACTGAAATGGTTTCTATTCACTCATAATAGTCTGTCAGAAGGTAGAAAGCCACTTACCAACCTTATAAATGGAGCTGGTTATTAGTCAAGCAGTTTCAAAGCAATTCAAAGGCACTAATTTCCTTCTCCCCACCCCTACAGCCCAATGCTCTCATTCCAGCACTGCGTGATCACAGCCACTCACACCCACCTCTCAACTCTTATCTACTTCACACCACCCTCCTCCACATCAAATCAACTAACAGCATGCTCCACTACCCTGGTAACCCAGGTGTACCATAGCAAGCACTTTACTCCAATAAAATCACATAGGCAGAAGCTCCGCAAAGTGCTGTGAAGAAAAGCAGTCTGTAAACTCCTAAAATAATGTCTGTTAATGAGTGAGATGCTTAATATTCAGTGGGAAGTCACAATAGAAATAAACTACCCACAGAACCAGCTATTTAGGACACAATATGCTGAAGATACAATAGATAAATTCAACTCTCAGGTAAGGATATCTTGGCAAGAAACCTGAAATTAACACCTCATTGTTTGCCAGAAGTCAGTCCACAGCAGCAAAAATTACTTGCTTTTTCCAGCTAAATTAATTCACAAAGGGATATTCCTAGGATGCTGAGGTAGGATAAAAAGTAAGCTTAAAAATTGAATGCCCTGTATAAGAAAGGCTGAACAAATAGGAAAAACGTATCAATAATAATTTTTAAAGTCTACCATATAAAATAATAAAATCCTTAATCAAGTGAAAAATCTGAATCCATAAAGGTTTCCCATGTGTATATCCCTGCCCAGTGAAATTAGTGCATCTCCAAAGAAACACAGACAGAAAAAACAGCAGGACCTGGGCCCTAGAGACCTGTTTTATGTCAGTCCTGGGGAGGGAAAAAAAATAAAAGTTGATAACACCTTTCTCAAAACCAGTACTGACAGGTTAAAGAAAACATTGTTTCCACCATTCCTTCCCAACAAAAGTAGTGCTCATATAAACACCCAGACATTAAAATGGCAAAATCAAATCAGGGCCAGTTCTGTAAGTTTCTGACATTTCTTATCTGACAAACATCCACAGCCATGCCACAGAGCATTGAATTTTTTCCAAGCTTTAATGAGAAGTTTTAAATATTCTCCCAAAGTCTAGTTTTTTGCTCACTTTCTCACACACAAAAGCATACCACCTCTTCCTCTCCTTCCTCAGCAAAACGGCTTCTTTTTAAGTCAAATTATTTTCATAGGTTTCTGAAGCTATGACAGAACATACTGAACTGCTGTTTGATTTCCTACAAATTCTGTGTGTGGACTCAACATTTGGAGAGGGAACTCTGAAATAAACAGTAACAGTAATGACTCGCCTCCTTGTTCTTGATGGGATATACTGTACAGTATCCTAATGCAACATGACTTCCTGAGGTGCCTGCTTTGCTTGGCATGTCAGATAGAAGTGCCTGGTTTTGTCCATTCACTCCTTGCCTTCTTGCATGATTGTGTCATACCTCTTATCCAGTCCTGCAATGCTAGGTTTGTTTTCCTTGAAAATAACCTGGTCTTTGAAGCATGTCATTCTGAGGTAATGTCAATTAAAAAAAAGTAAAGTTAGATTTCAAGGTGATGGGGGAATCTTTTAAACACTAAAGGCTTTAAAAAATACTAAAGAAATAAAAAGAATTCTGTATTTATTGTTTGTTCAAAAAATATTTCAAATGTTTGGCCCTACTAGGATTTAACTAGAGGAATAGCAGCAGCCTTGGAGATATACCATAAATGCTACTAGCTGTCACAGGGAAATAAGGAGGTGACTGACTTCTCCTCAATCCCTTAACAAAGGCACATTATATAGGCTACACGCTCCGACTCCAGGGAAGTTAATATAGCACTTTGTGTTCTCGAAACTGAAAAACATAAAGCTGAGTGAGGTTCTTTCATGTTTTTTTCTTTTCATATTGTGAAATGTTTGTTTTCACTAATGTTACAGGGTAGTAATCACTGCTCATGCATTAGCAGCAAACAATCAAATACTTTCACAGCTATCCAGTATAAATAAATATTTTCTTCTAATTATACCATATGAATTA